ACTTAAAATATGAACACCCCAGCTGAGCTGTGGGTTGAGCTGCTTCCCAAACAGAGCTGTTGAAGTCCTCATCCTGTTATTTGAACACGGGTCAGTGCAGATATATTAGTTTAGAAGAGGCCACACTGAAGGCAGGTTGCCCTTTGTCCAGTGTGACTGTGTCCTTCCAGGAAGAAAAAGAACACTGTGGTGATGGAGGCAGAGGCTAGAGAGTGGCCTCCATGAGCCAAGGACCCCAGGGATGCCAGCAAACACCAGCAGCTAGAAGACAAGAGCAAGTATTCTCCCTGACAGATCCCAGAGGAAGCGCGGCCTTGCTTGATGTCAGATTTACAGCTTCTAGATTTCTGTTGTTTCAAGCCACTGGCTTGTGGTATTATGTTCCAGGAGCTGCAGAAGCTAAAACAACCCTTCTTTATTGATCACCTTTAATATTTTTTTTTAATTTTTCTCAAATTTTATTGATTTGCCACTTGACCACCTGTTACTATTGGACTGTCCCAAAACTTAGTCCACTGACAACTTTCCTTCTCTGTTCTCACTTCTTGGTGATCTCACCCAGTCTAACTTCAAATCCACCCTGGCTGATTGCTTCCAATTGTGTGTTTCTAGTGAAGACCTTGCCCCTGAATTCTACACTCACAGTTACTTGCTTATGTGACTTCTCTACTTTTATATGTAAAAAGCATCTTAATCCGAACATGTCCAGTACTGAATTCTTGATCAGTTCCTTCAACCTACTCAGCCCTACAGTTTTCCCCTATCTTAGTAAATGGCAGCTCCATCCTTCCAGTTATAAAGACTAGAAGTCAAGTTTAACTCTTCTCGTTCCCTCATAACCTTCATTCAATCTTTCAGGTCTTTCAAGTTTATTTCCAACTGCTTCCCACCAGATTACTCAACCACCCTGGTCCATGCTAAGAGCATCTCTTGCTATGACACTGTACTGGCTTTCTAACTGGTCTTACAATTCATTCTCAACCCAGCATCGAAATCATCCTTTCAAGGGCCTCCCCAGTGGCGCAGCGGTTGAGCGCTGGGTTGCGAAGCTGCCCGCGGCCTCTGCAGCCCTGGTTCGATCCCCGGCTGCTCCCCGGCCACTGGGGGAGGGTCCCACATGGCGCGCAGACCTCTCCTGCCTCCCGCTGCTCCCCTCAGTAGTGTACTTTGGTCCTTCTGCCTGCTCTGCTCCCCGCTCTGGCTCTGGTGAATTTTCTCACCCTCCCGCGCTTCTGACTGTACCCAGTGCATGTATAAATAAATAAATCTTAAAAAAAAAAAAAATCATCCTTTCAAGTGGTATGTTAGATCACGCCATTTCCTTGAACAGAAAGCCTTTTAATGATTTCTTATCTCTGAAATGAAAATTCACAGCCCTTACAAAGGACTTCAAGGCCCTGCATTATGTGGCCCCTGTTCTTCCTTGGACCTCATCTCTACCCACTTTCCCTCCGTTTCAGTCACAGTGGCTTCTGGATTGTTCCTTAAGGATCTTGGCACCTCTGTACTTGCTGCTCCGTCCACCTGGAAAGCTCCCTTATCTCCTCAGGCCTTTGCTCGAATACCACCTTCTCAGTGAGCCCAACCTTGACCACACTACTTAAATCAGCCCTCACCCCCCACCCCACTCTGGTACTTCTTATTCCTTTTCCTTACTTCTTCTCTTTGGCATGTATGACCCATTTTACACACTATATTTTAACTTTACCTCTTAGTTATTTCTTGCTACTAGTGTATAACCTTCATGAGAGCAGAGACAGATCTGTTTTGCTCACTGCTAGATCCCTGGCACTCAGGAAAGGGTCTGCCATGTAGAACTCAACAGTGAGTGATGAGTAATGTTAACTTTTTAAAGGAATTTTACAATAAAAGAGAGCACAAAAATGGAGTGCAAGTAGATACAGTAAGATTTACTTTTTAAGATGTATAATAAGGTAGAGTGGGCACATGCTAACTGAAATGACCTAACAGAGGGGGGAAATTTTATAATTTTCTGTGTGAATCTGTGAATCGTATTGTCACGTAGGCAGTGAAAGCTGGCACAGCTAGAGGGACAAATGGCTTTGGATGAGCACAAAGAGACTTTATCTATAGAAACAGGAGAGGAGGTGAAGAAAATAGATACAGGTAGGTGAGAGCTTGTAAAATTTCCCTGATTGCTTCCAATTTCCCCATCAGCTAATTTCCTTTCAGTCTCATTTGAGATGAAATAAGAGAAGAGGCATCGGAAATTTGAGAAGCAGAAGGTATAAAGTGATTCTCTAGAAAGAGGGAATGAGAATTATGAGCAGGAGGTGGTAGGTTACCAGGCGCTCTTGCAGTTGGTGGTGACGAATTTCAAGTGTGGCCAGTCAGCAGGATAGGGTGTGCTCCTGCAGGCTCAGGTGCACGTGCAGCAAGCCAGACTGATGGCGCTTTGACAGGAGAATATGAAACAGGAAAAGCTGTGCAGGCTTGCTGGTGGTGGTATAGGTCATGAATCAATTAGAATGATGGATCATGAGATCTAGGCCAGGTAAGATGGGATGTGAGCGTACAGAGGTGAGAGTAGCATTGGTCAGTTACTGGCATGGGTGCACTGTGCATCTCTGCCTCCTCTTCCTGGAAGGACACCGTCCACAGAAGACAAAGGGCGACCCACCTTCAGTGTGGCCCCTCCTAAGCTAATACACCTGCACTGACCCAGGCTCAAATCACAGGGTTAGGGCTTCAACATATCTGTTTGGGAAACAGCTCAACCCAAGCTCAGCTGGGGCATTGACAAAAAAAAAAAACTATATCTTTTGTGGATGCATTTTACGGTATTCATAATTTAAGTTGCTCAGGCTCTCGTTTGCTCAGTAAATGAGGCCTGGTAACCCAAGTGTTGTAGCAATTCCCATCTTTTGTAAAAGCCAGAGGTGCTCTAGACTGTGCATGTGATCTGGACTCACACGACGTGCAAATATCTCTTGAGGCTCTGGGATCCTGCCACTGAGCATCCCGGGACAGCCTGGCAGGCTCAGAAAGGAAGAATTAAACCAGTAAATCAGGGGCCTTGGGGTCTCTTGCACTATTCTTGTAGTCCTATTGTTTTAAAATGTTGACCCAACCAAAAAGCTCACAACCTGTGTGCTGAGTGTGGGGGAGCCTTCAGGGTGCGATGCCATGTGGATCCTGATGTAGCCTGGAGGTGGGGGAGGAGCAAGGGCCTCATCTGGGTCTTTAATCGTGAGCTAAGCCAAGGTCCCAGAGCTTCCAGACCCCAAGACACTCAAAAGCGCTATCTGAGGCCTCAGTCCTCTGGCTCTGGATGTGACTCCTACCCTGCTCTTCTTAAGAAAGTCCCACTAGGGCCTCCCTGGTGGCACAGCGGGTTGAGCGCAGTGCTGTGAAGCTGTCTACAGCCTCTGCAGTGGGGGTTCGATCCCCGGCTGGCCGGGGAGATACCCACATGATGCAGCAGAGCTCTCCTGTATCGCCTGTTGCTCCCCTCAGCAGTGTATTTCGGTCCGTCTGCCTGTTCTGCTCCCCGCTCTGTCTCTGGAAAATCCTCTTACCCTCCCACGCCTCTGGCCTATACCCCAGTTCTTGTACAAAAATAAATCTTAAAAAAAAAAAAAAAAAAAGTCCTACGAGGAGAGGCCACTCTTCCATGCTGGAGAAAACCTAGCAACAGTCACTTCCTGCACATTTACTAGCTGCCAAGCTTGATACCAGTCCTCTGACCACTGCCCGCAGGACCTGAACCCGGTGGGCAGCCTGTGTCTGCTCCTGGGCCTGGGATCCCAGGTCTGAGAAGAACCAGGGATGAGGCCAGCTCCTCCCACCAAGTCAGCAGGTAGCAACAGATGAAGTGTTTTCTGCCAAATGACTGCAAATCAATAGTTACTTCCGCTTCAGTTGGACTCACTGCAATCTCTGAACTGGGAAAGTCTGAATGAATGAGGTTCATGGCACTGAGGGAAGCACTCAGACCTTGCCAGAATGGGGCTAGCAGACGCTAGCAGGGACGGCGAGCAGGGACAGCGAGGCTGAGGCCTGGGGTCTGAAGATAATGTCTTTCATGAAAGATGCAGAACTCGGCTGTCGAGTGGCGTCTCTGCCCCTCTCCACTTCCTACCCAGCTTGTAAGAAATGGAGGCCTTCATTCTATTACTCTAATTGAATTCCAACTTGGGTAATTATACCATAATTAAATAAATTTTCCCCACAGTTTTAATTCAGTGACAAATAGTGCTAGTCAAACAGCTACATTTCATTCCCAGAAACGCACCCCCACTATATTTCAGTGATAAGTGGAATGATTTATAATTGGGACATATGTGTATGAAAAATGCACAGTACATAAAATATTTTAGGTATCATTCATGATTACATATGCTTTTCTCAGCATGAGATAACATTAATTTCTATTATATAATCTTTCATCTAATTTCTCATATGCTTAGTGCCAAAAGAAATAAGACAGTTAATTAGCATTTCTTATTTTCAGAAGAACTTGTATGTAGTTAACCCGTAGCTTGTATTTTCTATTTCGAAGCACATTTCATTCTCTGGGAGACAGACTGGGGTAGGTGTCACCGCTTCCCATTCTACAGAGGAAAATATGAAGACGGTATTCCCCAAAGGGAGGAAGTCAGTGACTATCCTTTCCAGCCTGGAGCCTGTGTCCTCTGGCCCACGGGCCTTTTTATCAAACACCACGTGTCACTAGCAATCACTTTAGTGATTATGAGAAAATAATCACTGAATTTAGTGATAATGAGAAAACAAAGAGTAGCACATTTGCAACCCGTGTCACAGGCCATTCATTTGTAGTAAGGAGCGATTTAGCCAGGAGTCAGAGGCCGGGTAGCTGGGTCCCCTCGGTAGTCAGCTTGATTGTGAGGACAATTCAAAACGAGCTGCAAAGTGTGCAAAGGACCGAAAGGACTCAACTCTCCATTTTAGTGACCTTTCAAAAAAGGGCAGCAATGGCTTGTAACGGGAGGTATTGGAGACAATATCAAAATACTCACAAAAAGCAGCAGGAGCACGGGTGTCACAACGATGCCCTGAAAGAAAGAAGAGATGATGATCACTCATCAGCCTGGAGAGCAGGGCACTTACTTTGCCATTTTAAACTTCTCCTTCTTCCTAACGTTGGATGAAATGCAGAAGAATTAGAGGGAGCCCCAACCTCTGCTCTCCGGACCCCAGTGCAGCAGTGTCTGCGTTACAATTAACACAGTGGACACCATGAACCGGACCGCTGCCGACCTTCCTCAGACTCACCTTCCCTTTTTTACACCCAAGTTCTTTTCCCCTGTTACATGTGGATTATTCGGGCGGAAGCTGGAAAGCTTCCTCATGCCAAGGCTTTCAACTCTAAGTTGGATAAAGTGCCCCCTTTCCAGAGAAGACAGGTGGTTCGGTCCCAGTTGGGGTCCTCTCCTGTGCAAAGACCACGTCAGTGGTGATGAATGAGATGTCGTGATTTTGTAATGTGAACGGATCTCCCCCAGGAAATGAGCCAGGATCTCAAAACTCATTTCACTTGATTAGACTCCACGTCTCCATGGCGGAAGGCAAGTCTTTCATCTAATTCAGCCACACAGGACCACCTCAGTCCCTCTGCCTTCCCTAGACAGAAAGGAGCAAAAGATTTGTTTTCTTCGATGACAGGGAACAGTTTGAGGCTCTTGTCGATGAGGCAAGATACAAGCTTTTAGGTTTCCTGAAGGTAAATCTTTAAAACTGGGTGTCTGAGTTGGGAGTTAACCTGACAGGCTTCAGTTTTAGAGGAGCAGGTGATTATTCGCCCTTGTTCGTTCTTCCTTTAGCTCTCTACACTTTATTATGATTTATACAAGAAAAAGCATTTCATATTTGTATTAATGAATTCTACTTGGAACTTTAAAATTCCAAAGACTCTGTGTGTGAGACAGCGGGAGGTGGGAGCAGACTGGCAGACAGATGGACAGCAGACAGACAGTGAGACTGAGACTATGCCGTGCCCAGGATCCAGGTCTGGCACCTCACTACTTCAGAAAAAGCCCTCTTGGTATTTGAATGGAAGTTCTTTTGTCAATAGAGTAACTAAATTCCCCTGGATGTGACCCAAGAGGGAGTGGCTCCCCTGATCTGAGCACTGCTGCCAGGGCTTTCCAGGCCTGTGCACATGTGGATATCTACACACGCATGAACATTTCTGTATTGTGAGAACTTTTGCCATCGGCAATAGGCAACAGAACATTTCAATATAAATGTTATATATTTTAAATCTATGTATTAAAGCATGTATTGTGACTTATCAATTCTGTTGGTGTCTACGAAACAGGTTCCTCTCAGCATATTTAGGAGAGCGAACGGGGCAAAAACCTAAACAATTGTCATTTTTATTTATTTATTTTTTAAAGATTTATTTTTATTTATTTACACATGCACTGGGTACAGTCAGAAGCGCAGGAGGGTGAGAGAAATACCAGAGCCAGAACGGGGAGCAGAGCAGGCAGAAGAACCGAAGTACACTGCTGAGGGGAGCAGCGGGCGGCAGGAGAGGTCTGCGCGCCATGTGGGACCCTTTTCCGGTGGCCGGGGAGCAGCCGGGAATCGAACCGGCGCTGCAGAGGCTGCGGGCAGCTTCGCAACCCAGCGCTCAACCGCTGCACCACCAGGGAGGCCCCAATTGTCATTTTTAAAGCGCTATTGTCCTTCGAGGACTTGGAACATATCCAGACTTTAGGAGGCATTCCAAACTTTACAGGCCATGTGGAAATGAAAAATATCTGGTTGTCTTAGAGTATGTGGGAGCCATCCGATTTCAAGTCAATTTGTTCAAAAGTTTATTGAGCGCCCACTTATTTGTCTGGCACTGTTCCATTCATTAAAGAATTAGTGGAAACTGATCCAACAGAAAGTAGGTAAGGATATTCCAGGAAAAAGGAAGGGCATTCACCTCACTGTACAAAGTCAAGCAGGGAGGAAGAAATGTCCCAGCCCAGCTCACCAAAGGCCTGGATGGTCTCGAGGGGAGCTGCAGTTGATCCCATCAAGGACGACAAACTACTGAAGAACTTAAAAGGAGGGAATAATGAGCTAGTAAATAATTTAGTAAATGGAGAATGGATTTGACTTTGCTATCTATCAATTCACTGAAATTAGGATTAAAAAAACAAAAAAGAAACACGTGTTAATGTCAATTATGGAATAATAATAGCACTAACAACACTTCTGAGAAAGAGGCATGATATCTGATCGCTCAAGGATCTTCACGCAGGAAGAAGATAGAGCACTGTCACCACTCTGGGGACAACTGTCTTGTGTTAGAGGAGTTGCAGCCACGTTGGTGTCATATAGTACAGGAGGACCCGTGTTCATACTGGGCCCATTTCACTGTCCTTTGCAATAGTGGACTAATGACAGCTTCAGTGATAGTGACATTATCACCACTAGTGGCATTTGGCTTCAGTTCTTTCATGAGCATTTTAAAATGTGACCCTCCCCTAAGGAAGGAGTTAGGTTACATAATCATCCCATTTTATTGATGAGGAAACTGGAGTTCAGAAAAGTCTAGCAATCAGCTCAAAGTCACACAGCAAATAAATGGAAAAGCCTGGACTGGAGCCTGTTTTTCCTACTCCAAATCCAGAGCTGACTCCACAATGTGTCTGGTCCTTGGGAAGCAGATTTCATTCACCAGTACAGTTTCCTACAGAGTTCCGCTTAGGATATATAAACAGTGATTAGTTGTTCTATGATCTTGGTCTCAAGTAGTTCACCACTTAGAGATTACTTCATTCTGGAAGGCAGAACACCATTATCTGCAGGTTTTCCTGCCTGACTATTTCAAAGGTATAGTCCTCAAGACACAAGAGTCTCTTTGCAGTACCTCTAAGGATGTAAGATGTTTGTTCCTAACATAGGTAAAAAAAAAAAAAATTCCCTAACAAATACAATGCATTTCCTAATTCTGGATTCAATGACCCTCAATATTTTTGCAATCATGGCTGTTCAAGTTCAGAAGAACGAACTGTTCGAGGACACTGAAACCTGTTGTTTAGTTGTATTGGAAATGAATCAGCCATGACGCCACTAAGAGCGCCATTACTAAGTTTGGGTGAAGTCATAATTATCATGGAAACACTTGGCACCAGTATTTCTGGAGTGTGCATCTCATATCAGCTGATACGCTAAGGATTTTGTGTCAGATATGTCACCCTCACAGCCCTGAGCAAGGAGCTCTTCCTATCTAGCAGGGAAGGAAACGGAGTCTCAGAGAGACTGGGTGAAGAAGAAAGAGACCGAACCAAGAATCACCATCTCTCTGACTCCAGGCCTGTGCCCCAGAGTGGCGCAAATGAAATCTCTGCAATTGCATGCTGTTTCCTCAGGATGAGATCTTAAAAGTAAACCTTTGCAAGGACTCAGACTCAGCATTGTTGAAAAATGTGAAACTGGTTGAGAAATAAGCCTTGGTAGGTGCCAATATGGCTAACCCATTCTTTTAAAGTCAGGTTTTTGCAAATATCAATGGAAAAAAGGCTAAAAATTTAAAACCATAACAGCGACTATTATTGGAAGTTGTCAAGTCAGATGAACCTGTTAATCTCTCTTGGGTATAGAGAAGGTTCAATTTGATTACCTCTTTCTTTCTGTTTCCCAGGTAAATCAGATACAAATGGATAAAACCCAGGAGGATGAAGGAGCACTTCTATCAAAAGGTGCTATTCCTTCCTCACAGATTCAAGGTCAAGACCCAGTTTTAGCATCCTTGCCATCTGGATGGTGTGTTAAGCTTTCTGACTGCGACACCTGAAGAAGTCAAGTGACAAAGTGACTGTCTGTCTTTGATTGTATCTTAAAAACTCTTTGAAAAACCCATTTACACCTCTGATGTGAATGACTGGGTGAATATATTCCAATGACTTTAGTGGAAGGAGGGAAAAAAGTGTCAAAACTGAGGTAGATTTACTTGCATTAAAACACAGGCTATATAAAAACCTCCCAAATAACAAAACAACAACAAAATTGCGAATGCACTTCTCTCAGCACTTGTTAAGAGAAAACAAAACAAAACTGAAGTGGATTATCATTGTGAAAAAAAAAAATAGAAAATGTTATTGGGAGGTTTTGCTGCAACTATTGTGTTTCCAGATACTAAAACTGACTTCTTGGGCTTCTCACTCCAGGATATTCTGTAAACCTTGGAAAAAGTTCTTTCCATTTTTAACTAGAGGGCGACAGCTCAATTTTCACAGAAGAATCTGGGTTTTGCAGGGGCTCGCACGGCTACCCTAGAGCAGGGCTCATCTGCAGCGAGCCCCCTCTGCCTCTCCCCCTTCCTCGACCCCCAGTGACATGAGATTGTAATGGCTTCACCTTTGCCAGAAAACCTACTATGAGGACGCTGTGTCTCTGAGGCACCAGCGCTTTCCCACAGTGAGCAGCTCTTTCTTAAACTGAACACAGGCCACACCCACCACAGCCCTGCCTTGTCTACCCCTCTGAGTGCATCTCACGCCTCCACCTTGTGATGGTGGCCTTCCCACTCTGGTGCGCTCCCGGCTTGAGTGGTGTAAAACCTCTGCACTGTCGAGCTGTTTTCTTGGGATTAAATCTTACGAGTAATGCTGAAGTGAGCCTTTTGGTTCCCACGCTAAGTCTTCTCCAGGCTAGAGGTCTTCAGGTCCCCCTACTCTTGCTCCTCTGGTAGGTTCTGAGCCTTCTCTTAACCATCACCTCCCCTGGATGAATCTAGTAGTCCACAATATTCACTTCAAAACTAACCAAAACTTGGAAATAGAACCAAGAGAGTTGGTTGCATGTCCTTGCGATGTCACCCTGCAGCTTTATCTGCGGGGCCAACTCAAGGACAATTTCATTACCTGACAGACACACCTCTGTTTGACTTCTGTTTACTTTTGATTAGCCTCCAGATTGTAAATGCACATTACTTCACAAAGGTTTTTTCCAGTAGAGATAGAAATCATTTCTGTTTATACAAAAAGTAACCACAAAGATTATAGTTTTATCATTCACAAGGGATTAAGCCAGTCTTGCATCTAACTGAGCA